GCTCAGTGTGAAGGCCTTAGGTTCATTTCCAAGTATGCAAAAATTTTAAAAAAGTAATAATAATAATAATAGCTAATAATAAGGGCTATGGGTGTAGCTCCATTGTAGAGCCTGTGCTTAGTAAGTGGGAGGTCCTAGGTTCAATCCTAGCACCTAAACAACCAAACCAACAATGAAAACAAGCAAATAGTAATACAGTTCTTATGTGCCAGGGACTATTCTCTGAGCTTTATATGTATTAGCTTATTTTATTTTATTTTTTTTAAATTTTGAGACAGGGTCTTGCTATGTAGTGCAGGCTGGTTGAATTCACTTATGTAACCCAGGCTGGCCTCAAACTCATGATGATCCTCCTGCCTCAGCCTCCTGAGCGCTGCCTCAGCCTCCTGAATGCTGGGATTACAGGCGTGTGCCACCACACCTGGTAGTAACAATTCTTTATTAGGAAGAGCACTACTCCGGATAACTTTCACTACCTGAGAGACTGTATCTGCATAAAAAGACAACTTTTATTCACTGTACAGTTCCTTACTGCACCTTGTAGTAACCTGCATCACCACGCACCCCTCCAGAAGTCCCAGGCCCCTACTCCTTTCTTTTTTCTCTTGTTTGAACCCAAGGCCTTTACAGTGAGCACCCCCCTCCTTATTTTTAGTTTTCATTTTGAGACAGTCTCACTGTCACTAAGTCACCCAGGCTGGGTTTAAATCTGTGATCCTCCTGCCTCAGGCTCCCAGAGTGCTGTGATTACACACTTGTACCACCAGGCCTGGTCCCTATTGCTTTGTATAACTCAGGAAGCTTCACTCATCTGATCCTTTGTATTACTGCCTTATTTTGTGGGACTCCCAAGGATGTGTAAGTAGTTTAATATGACTTTTCTCCTGTCAGTCTGATTTTGTTTGGTTGGTTTTGGTTTTTTAAAGACAGAGTCTCTCACTATGCAATGGAGGCTGGACTTGAACTCACTATGTAGCCCATGGTAGCCTCAAACTCATGGAGATCCTCCTGCCTCAGCCTCTCAAGTGCTAGGATTACAGGTATGTGCCACTATGCCTGACTATTTTAATTTAAATTATAGCACACCCCTCCCTATTGTAGCCTAGTCAAAGAAACTAGAAGGGTGGTGAGAAACAATTCTTTTTTTTTTTTCCTTTCAGAGGACTCTGGAATTAGACAGCCCAGGTTGGGGAAATCTTGCCTGTTTTCCCATGTGCGAAAAGAAGGTAATACTAATATATCTCATAGGATTGTTATGAATTAAAATTTATACACAGAACAGTGACTGGTACATAGTAAAAAAAAACTTAGGATTTTGACAAATTCCCCTTTTTTCTCTTCCTTTATTTACTTACTATTTTGGTGGTGCTGGGGATCAAACCCATGGTCTTGTGCATGCAAGGAAAGAGCTCTACCACTGAGCCACATCCCCAGCCCTCTCCCTTTATTTATTTATTTATTTATTTATTTATTT